TTTTGAACTCCCTAAGATGCAACTGTGAGGGTCTGGATGATGAAACTGTGGTGAGATGAGTTGAGACCAAATGCAGATTTAATGATTTATTGAAAAAAATCATGAACAAGAAATGAATGGTGACGTCCAAGAAAAGATGAAAGACAATAGGCCAAGAAAAATGTAGAGATGTGAAAAGGTGAGTGACTCAGTGACGCATTGAAGAAAAAGCACTATGAGGGGGTGGGAGTGTGGATGTAAATGCATTATTCATTACACACCCACACCCTATAGATCCTTAGCGGCGGATTCCAACGACTGATAAGCCTATGGGAACTGCTATTATTTTCCTCGGAATCTGATGACAAGATACAGAACCATCAAACAGAGGAAAAAAAGAAAAAAATTTCTTATTCCATCGTTTCTGTAAAATCGCTGCCAACTATCTGAAGAAAGATACAAAGACAAAACAGATAATCTACACCAGATTTGTCAATATCTGTATGAGAAGTGTGGAAAATGTGCGATCAGACTCCGGACAACCAAACGATCAAAGAGAAAAATGACAAACAATACTTGGAATAACTAAATCAAAACAAAAAGAAAAGCAAAGGAGTTCTTTTCATTCTGTTGTTGCTATAACGTCTTCGGAAACCATCGGTATAAGAAAAAGAAAAATAAGCAAAATAAAGTAACTTTCGTCGATGAACTACTATCGATTTTTCCTCGAAAAATGACGAGCAACATTCAGAATTAGGTTCGCAACAAAAAAACAAAAGCGGTTTTTCATTCTGTTGGGGTATGGGTCTTCCTTTATCTACAACCACACCCACATTCACATCCATAAATATCTCGTAATCAGTTTTAGGTCTATAAAGTTCGATTATTTGTTTCACATTAATGTACCTTCTACTAACTAATTACACTTTTAATGTCGGACTGCAATATTGTTGTTTACTTTATCAACTAATATAATCATATAACTATTCTTACTCATCTAGAATCATTTGATGTCAACATCCTATAGTTACCCAGGTCGATCA